GGTGTCTTGGCAAGATTACCTGGATTCAGTTCTACTCTGGAGTCAGGAAGCCTCCTTGAAACATAGTCACAATCATAGCCTATAGTAATCAAGGTAGATGTGCTGGAATTGCCTCAGCAGAGTATTGGAGAAGGATTTGGAAGGCTCATGGAAGTAGAAGAGAAAAGTCATCTTGACTAGGTTTGCAGGAAGGCCCAGAGGATGCTGCTATTACTAATACAATAAAGAATAAACTTTCTGTGGAAGAGTAGCCAGTTATATCTTTAAGAATTTCAGCCAGGTGTGGTGACGCATGCCTGTAATCCCAGCGATTTGGGAGGCTGAGACAGGATAGTCCGAGTTCAAAACCAGCCTCAGTAACTGCAGGGTGCTAAGCAACTCAGTGAGACCCTGTCTTTAAGTAAAATACAAAATAGGGCTGAGGATGTGACTCACTGGTTGATTACCCCTGATTTCAATCCCCAGTACCAAAAAAAAAAAAGTTAAGAATTTCAATGATAGATCTTCTCCATGGCCAGACTAGATAGAAGGAAATGATACATGCTGAAACTCACTTCCATTATGTCAGTGAGTATGATAGAATTCCAAAAATGTAGAGACCAGGTTGTAAGACTCAACAGTCAGACATATAGTGGAAGTGATGACTATAACAGGGAATGAATCTAGAATGACAATCAGGTTACCTGGACTATGGTGTTCTTAGGGATAAGCCAGATAGGCAGCTGACTATAGAAAAAAATGAATGGCCGACCAATAGAAGGCTGACATCAGATACCCACAGTGACACATCACAATTATTCTACAAGCTGGAAGATCTCATCCAGTTCTTAGACAAAGAAGCGATTTGAGAAGAGAATGGCCTCCTTTAAAGAAAGCATATTGTATATGCTGCTCCAGAAAATATATACAATAAAGTCCCCTAAATACATTACTGAAATGACCTACGGCCACATCATACAGTAAATTTTGTGGTAGGGAGAGAGGAGGACTCTAACTTTTCAAGAACTTTTAGTTATACTACAAGGCCAACTCTTTTAGTGATGAGATGCCCTCAGTCCCTGAGGCCTCAGTTAGAGGAGGGGCCTTTAAAGGTCAGATGAGTCCTGACCAAACTGAGTCCATAGATTAAATCTGTTATTTCCCAATTGTTGAGTGTAGAAATGGGATTTATACACTTATCAGCTAACAAACACTCACATGATCCCCTGAAGTATGCAATTGGAATATTATGAAAGGCCAAAGATAAGGTTTTGAAACTACCCTTACCCAGTTAAGATACTAAATCAGAAGCAATATCACACTCTGTGAGAACAGATGCTTTATGCTTCAATATAGACCTAAGAGACATAGGTATTGTGGTTTTTGTCATTTTGCTACCCAGTTAACATCATTATAGATTAAATTACCAAATGAAAGCCACAATTATATGTCTGTATCAGATGTGGTATGTTTACAAGAACTGATAAAATCACTAGATCCAGTGGTGACATTTGGTATGTAGATGTTAATCTGGTAAGCATGTTCTTTTAAATCCCAATAAATAATGAAAATCAAAGTCATGCACATTTGTTTGGAAAGGACAGCAGTAAACATTCACTGTCTCATCCCAGGCCTTTATTATTTCTCCTGTTCTCTGTCAAAATCTAGTACAAAGAGACATGAATCATCTTGGCATTCTACAGAACATTATGTTGTTCTCCTATATTGATGACTAATGAACAGGAAGAAGTAAGTAGTTGTATTGCCACAGCAAGACAATCTATTCAGTGAGTCATAGATAAACTACAGATATTTAGGACCTCTCACATATTTTGAAGATTTTTAGGGCAGCAATGGTCTGGAAATGTTGGGACATGTCCTTGTGTACTCTAAGATGAAGGACAAATCATTGTACCTTGCAACTTTGCTGCTAATTAAATGTCACAACATTTGGTGGTAGCTACAACCATTGCTCTCAGTTCCTTGCACAGAATACCCTATTACTTTCCATTCCTGTACTTACAGGCCAACTTCCTATTGCCAACACTACATTTTTGCTTGAGGGATCTCTTTCTGGAGGCCAGCTTACAGAGAAGGCCAGAAGTGCCAGGTAATTAACATTTCCCAAGATTAACCTTCAACTAGTGACTAATAAGATTTAGGGGATACTCCCGTAGCTCTTAACTGGAATAAATTCTAAGCCTTGCGTTTCCCCAAATCTACAAGACTTCTCTAATGAGATTATTTCAGTTGCCCTCAGTGGTAACTTTCTTGAGAATTTAATCTTCATGGGATGCAACTCACAGAATGCTTAGGAATTTGTAGCTGCAAACACCTGTATTAAAAATGAGGAAGTTCTTAAATCAATAGCCTACCCATCCACCTTAAGAAACTAGAAAAAGAATGCAAACTAAAGTCCTAAGCAAGCAAAAGAAAGGAAGTAATAAATGTTAGAAAGAAATAAATGAATGAGGGAACAGAAAAACAATATATAAAATCAACAAAACATAAACTTTCTTCTTGGAAAAGATTAATAAAATTGACAAAACTTTAGAAAAAAAAAAAAGAAATTACTGAAACATGGCATAAAGAGGAAACTTGCTACCAACCTTAGAAAACTAAGAAGGATTTTAAGAGAATACTATGGGGCTGGGGATGTGGCTCAAGCGGTAGCACGCTCGCCTGGCATGCGTGCGGCCCAGGTTCGATCCTCAGCACCACATACTAACAAAGATGTTGTGTCCGCTGAGAACTAAAAAATAGAATATTAAAAATTTTCTCTCTCTCCTCTCTCTCTCTCTCTCTCTCTTTAAAAAAAAAAAGAGAATACTATGAACAAATGTGTACCAACAAATTAGAGAACTTAAATGTAATCTACAGCTTCTTAGGAGGACTACTTCAATTTTAAAAAATAGGCTGAACAGACTTATAAGAAATAAAACATTGGATTAGTAATTTTAAAACTTCCCACAAAGAAAAGCCCAGATCCACAGGGCTTCCCTATTGAACTCTACCAAGTACTTAGAAGAGAATTAATACCAATCCTTCAAAAATATTCCAAAAAATGTAGGAGAGAACATTTCCCGTCTTATTGCATGAGGTCAGCATTATCATGACACCAAAACTAGACAATTAAGAAATAGGGGCTGGGGATGTGGCTCAAGCGGTATCGCGCTCTCCTGGTATGCAGGTGGCCCGGGTTTCATCCTCAGCACCACATAAAAACAAAGATGTTTTGTCCGCTGAAAACTAGAAAATAAATATTAAAAAATTCTCTCTCTCTCTTTTTTTCTCTCTCTCTCTCTCTGACTCTCTCTTTTAAAAAAAAGATTGCATGATATAAAATCAATATACAAAATCAATTATAATTCTGTACTCTAGCAATGAAGAATATGAAAATGACATTATTAATTCCATTTACAACAGCATCGAAAAAAATGCTTAGAAATAAATCTAGAAGAAGTACAAGACATGCACACTGAAAACTGAAAAGCTTTATTAAAAAATTAAAAATTAAGTGGGGACATTTCATAGGTCAGAGAACTTATTATGCTAAAATGGCAATATTTCTTAAATGTATCTACATATTTGGGAAAATATGTATTAAAATCCCAGTCAGATATTTTGTAAAAATTGTAAAAATGATTCTAAAATTCAACGGAAATGCAAGAACTCCAGAATAGAAAAAAATAATAATTTGGAAAAAGAACAAAATTGAAGGACTCACACTTCTGTTTCAAAACTTATCATCATAGGGGTTAGGGATGTATCTCAGTGGTAGAGTGTGTATTTAGCATGTGTGGCCCTCAGGTTCAATCCTCAGCATGCACACATGTACACACATACACACATACTTAAAATAAAGCTACAGTAATAAAGATAGTATGGTTCTATAAGACTAGACATATATATTGATTGGATAGAATAGAGATTCTAGAAATAAACCCTCACATATAAACTAAATAACTTTTTATCAAGGGTCCAAGAACATGTAATGTGGAAAAAAGAATCTCCAACAAATGGTGTTGGAACAACTGGATATTTAAAGGAATGAATTTGGACCCATACTTCATGCCATACACAATCATGAGCTCAAAATCAATCATAGATATAAATGTAAGGGCCTAAAAATGCAAAGTTCTTAGGAGAAAACTTATGAGAAGATCTTCATTACCTTGTAATAGGCAATGAGTTTTTAGCTACCACACCAAAAGCCCAAGTAACTTTGTTCTTCAAATGTCACCATCAAAACAAATGAAAAGACAATTGTGATGGTTAATTTTTTGTGTGATTCTGCTAGAACATGGTATTCTGTTCAAGCATCAATCTAGATGTCTCTGCAAAAGTATTTTTAGCTGTGATTGATATTTAAATTAGTAGACTCTGTATAAAACAGATTTCCCCCTTCGTTTTGTGGATGGACCTCATCCAATCAATTGAAGAAGATCTTAACAAAATACACATACAAGGAGAGTGAAGGAATTCTGTCTCCAAACAGCCTTCCTACTCAAGACTGGAGCATCAGCTCCTGACAGGATTTTGAGCCTGATAGACAGCTCTACAGATTTCAGACTTGCCTGCCCCAGAATGATGAGAGCTAATTCCTTGGAATCTCTAAATCTGGCATGGTGGCACTCTTCTGTGGTCCCAGCTACTCAAGAAACTGAGGCACGAGGACCATGTGAGCCCAGGTTTCAAAAAGAGCCTGTACGACATAGTGAGACCCTGCCTCAAAAAAGAAGAACAACATTGTTCTCTCTAATGTATGGATGCTAACACACAAGGGGGTGAAGGTATTGAAGTTCAACGGAATAGACAAAGGGGAATGAAGGGAAGGGCGGGGAGATGGGAATAGGAAAGACAGTAGAATGAATCAGACACAACTTTCTTATGCTCATATACGAATATATTACAGTGAAACTCCACATCGTGAACATCCATGAGACGGGGATCCTAATTAGAGTAAGTTATACTCCATGTCTGTATAATATGTCAAAATACACTCCAGTGTCATGTATATCTAAAAAGAACAAATTAAAAAAACATAACAACATCAATAAATTTCTCCATAAATATATGTTTTTCTTCTTTCATTTTGTGGAAGATCCTGATGGATACATCAACCTATGAAATGCAAGAAAAGTATTTTAAAATCATTTATTTAACATGTTTGGCTATAATGTATTTAAAACTCTTACAATTCAACAATCAAAAGACTACTCTAATTTTTTAAATGAGCAAGGGATTAAATATACATTTCTCCACAGAATATACCTGACTGGTCAATAAGGACATGAAAAGATGCACATTATTGTTAGTCATTAGAAAAATGCAAAGCAAAACAGTCATAAAATACTACTTCACATTCACTAGGATGAGAAAATTCAAGAAGTCAAACAAAAACCAGCCACTATGACAAGCACCTGTAGTCCCAGATACCCAAAAGTCTGAGGTGGCAGGATCGCTGGAATCCAGAAAGTTGAGGCCAGTCTAGGCAAAATAGCAAGATTATGTCTCAAAAATTAAAAAAAAAGTCAGACAAAAACAAATGTTGGTAAAATTGTGGGAAAATTGTAGAATTCATATCATTGGTAGAAATGTAAAATATTGCAGCCACTTTGGAAAATTATTTGGCAGTTGACTTTTAATGGTAAACATAGATTTATCATGTAACCAAGTAATTCCTTCCCAATGTATATACATACAAGAAGTAAAAACATGGCAAACACAAAACTTTGTAAATGAATACTCATAGCAGCAATTATTCCTGTTAGTGAATAAATAGAAGCAACCCAAATATCCACCAATAAGTAAATGGATGAACAATATATGCTGTGCCCATGTGATAGAATATTTGACAATAAAAAAGAAATGAATTTCCAGTACAGGGTACAATCTGGATGAACCTTGAAAACATTGTGCTGGCTCTGGTAGTGCATAACTGTAATTCCAGCTACTCTGAGGCAGAAGAATCACAAGTGCAAGGTCAGCCTTAGCCACTTAGCAAGGCCCTAAGCCACTTAGAGAAACACTGTAGTCTAAATAAAATAATAAAAAGGAGCTGGGAATGTAGCTCAGTGAAAGCACTCCTGGGTTCAATCCCAAGTACAAGAAATAAAGAGAGAGGGAGGGAAGAAGGGAGAGAAGGAGGGAGGGAGATGGGGAGGAAGGAAGAAAGAAATGCTAAGTGAAGGAAGGCAGTAGTAAAAGACCAAATAATGCATGATTCTATTTATTTGACAGGGGTAGGGGATATGCCTCAGCACTAGAGTACATGCTTAGGAAGCACAAGGTCCTGACTTCCATTCCCAACACCAAAAAGAAAAAAAAATTATGTATATGACATGTTCATAATAGTCATATTAATAGAGTCAGAGTTGAATAGTGGTTGCCAAGGACCAGGTTGGACAGCAGAGGGAGAAGTGTGAGGAATGAAGAATGACTGCTAGTAAGCATCAAGTTTCTTTTGGAGATGAGGATAACATTCTAAAATTAGATTATAATGACCTCAGGCCATCTCTCTTGCCATCTAACTTCATAAATAGCCCTGCTTGTGTTTTTGCTGCAGTTTATTCCCACCTCTACTTCTATTTTGACTTCTCTTGCTTCTTCTACTTTGGCCTGACAGGCCAAGCCCTAAGCACAATAACAAGTTCCCAATATCCTTGAATCAGAAATATTAGCAACTCTAATAACCGCCACTTTGCCAGAGCCCATCAAACCAGTCCCAACTTCTGTGGCCGAACCTGTGGATACAGATATTTGGAACTTGGGATATGTTTTTTTTTCACTCTATCGATGGATAGGTTCTGTGTGCATTACAGAAATCCTAAACAACCGAGATGTGGCTACAATCTTCCTAAGAGTTAAGGTATAGACCCCTGGGTTTTAGAGTTTTTGTTGTTGTTGTTTTTGCATCTTAATTACAGGGAACTCTGAGGGTGGGAAACCAGAGGAAGAGCAGGTACTGCACTATCCTGGAAAGATAGCTGTCATGACAACAGCCATCTGTATACTGTGTGCAGTTCTCCAGAAAGCGCGCTTTGAAGCAGTGTGAGCTGGAATTTCTTTTTGAATACTCCAAATGGCACATCCATCCATCATCCCTCCCAATAGATGAGCTTACACAATAAGAGACACAGTTCTAGTTTCTAGAACTGTGAAAATTTCTTTCAGCATATAAGGAACAGGGACTTGTTCTCTAACTAGGCCATGTTCCACATGGTAATATATATATATATATATATATATATATATATATATTCTGTGTTTCTTAATCTACATCCCCATTTCAAACACGGAACAAGAAAACAGTGGTTGACACTCAAAGTGGAATGATGTAGATAGCAAGAGGATGACTTTTAGCCATTTTCTCTTTTTCTGCTAGCCACCCTAATGTTGACTGCAGTATCTGTTAAACAGCTAATGGACAAAAGAGAGGAAGGGACAAGGACATCAACTTGCAAAAACTAAAAGAAAGAGAGAGAGAGAGAGAGACAATTGATTGAACTTACAAGAGCCAAGGAATGAGTTCTATGCCACCTCACCGTTTATGGCATTCAACATAGAACACTGATCTCTGGAATCAAAATTGGGAAATTGGTGCTGGCTCTGGTAGGACTGAGCAGTACTAGCAAGACAAGAAGCATCTGGGGGACCTGAATAGTTAAAGAGAGTTTTGAAAATTAAAAAATAAAAATAAAAAAGAGTAAATTTCTCCTTTAAAATATAAGTTGCTAGCCAGGCATGATGGTGCGTACCTGTAATACCAGCTTCTCAAAAAACTGAGGCCCGCTTGGGAAACTTACAAAGACCCTGTCTCATAATCAAAAATAAAAGGGCTGGGGATATAGTTTAATGGTAGAGGACCCCTGAGTTCAATCCCCGGTACCACAGAAAGGGGAAAAAAAAACTGTCTGAAAAAAAAATAGCATGAGGTAAATGCACAATTGTGAGGGAAGGTAATGTAGAATTATAGAGCTCCACTCTGGGTCCACTTCCAGTTCAGCCCCAGATAACTATCCCTGTATAAATATTAACACCCCATACCAATGAGTTGTTGTCTCTCCTTCTGGAGAGAGCCCACATTTTCCCTTGAATGCATATTCTTCACTTTACCCTAAAGGCATCTATCTTGAGTTTGCTCCAATTCTATCTGCTATATGTAGCTACTTTCCTAATAAAAATCTTTCTATGCCTTTGACTGACTTGTGCTGAAATTATTTTCTGTCACATATGACAGAACCCCTCTGATGCAGAGTCAAGCTCCTCCTTCTCTACGGGAACTCCTCCAATCCTTCTTTGGAGACATCTCTTCTCTTGTGACAAACCCAGAAGCTTTTAGCAAATATAAAAATTGCCTATCTTGCACCAAAAGAAGATAGTACGTCAAATGTCAGGATGGAGATGTAATTCCTCAGAAGTCAGCTGAGAGTAAGGAGAGCAGGCTTTGTGCTTTTTTTTTTCTTGTTTTTTTTTTTTTTTTTTGGTGTGTGTGCTTTTAAAGACCTCTAAATCCATATAGCACCTGCAGTCCCAAAAACAGAAATACTTGATTAAAAAAAAAAAAACAGTTTACATGTCTTTACATGCACAGAGTTTTGGAAACAGTCAGATTAAGAACAGAATGTGGGGCTGAGGGCATGGCTCACTGGTTGCACACTTGCCTACCATGTGTGAAGCCCCGAGACTGATGCCCACCACTGCAAAAACAAGCAAGCAAAACCCCAGAATGTGTTCCAAAATGCTTCAAAACCAGTTGATTAGAAGTAGAACACACTTTCCCTCCTAAATCTACAGTTCAAGTTCCCAGAGGTATTCTAGAAATTCTACTTAAATCACAGGCAGTTGAAAATCTGAATGATCCAGATGTTGAATATAAGTCTCAAGTTTTTGGAGTCATAAGTCACAGTAACCTTAGAAGGGAGGGATCAGAGGAAAGTCAGCTTTTGAAGTAGGCCAAAAATAGAGTTCTTCTTGTGGCAAGATAGACAGACAGACAGATAGATAGATATGATAGATTAGGTAGGCAGATAGGTGGACAAATGTGTGGAGAGGTATAAGTGCTATCCAAATTCCAATCTGACATATACGAGCCTAAATCATCTTTTCCATTTTATTTGTAATTTTAAAAAATTTAATGGTACTTTAAATACAATTTCACCTTCAGTTACCTTTTTTTCTATCTCAATCCTATGTCTTTTCTAAACCTAAAATGTTCCAGTAGCACTTTTCCCTATGGCCCAGAAACCTCATGATAAAAAGCAAGACTAATAATAATAACAAAAAGAAACACACACACACACACACACACACACACACACACACACACACACACACATCACCCTGTAAACATAAGAAATCATCAGCCTTAATGTACCTTTTCCTCACAGAGGTTTTTACTGCCGTGTCCTTTATCATGTCTCCCTTGAGAAATGGTTCCTGTCAACTTGAGACCACTCATTTGAACTTAATGAAGGGCTTAATGCTGGTGTTAGGGTGTACCCCAGGTCTCTGTCAAAGAAAACAAACTTACAATTTGATGCTCTTCAACAATAAATCCTCTCAACAAAATTGTGGTATCACTTACATTTTAGACTCGCATAAGACTCTCTACATAATGCCTTTATAACCATATGGGGCATAAGATTTTGGATTCTTTTTTTTTTTCAGTGCTAGGGACTAAACATATGGCCTTGTTCAGTGGCACATGCTATGTCACTGAACTACACACCCAGACCCTAGAGTCTGGAATTTGATGCAATGTCTAGAAGACCAAAAGAGAAGTTTGTGTTTTGAGTTCTACTTTGTTATTATTCTCTCTCTTTCTTTCTCTGTCTAGATGTTTTGTTTTGTTTTTATCAGAATCCTTGCTCAGTTATGCACATGTCCTAATTTGGATGAGGCCTCAGTCTCTCAAGTCAATAGTATTACAATTGTGTGCCACAGTGCCCAGCTTGTTTTCCATTTCCATAAAAGAAAATATTAGTTGTAAATATCTGCTGACTAGCAGAAACAAGTGACTTAATTCTGCGTAGCAAGACACAATTCCATAACCAAAGATGATATAACCTATGTGCAATCTCTTGCCCACTCATATTGGTAAGAAAAAATTAATATGAACCAAGCAATGAAAAGTTAAATAAAATTTCCAGGACAAGTCTGTGGTTCATGTTCTTAAAAACTTTGTGATATTGGAAAATTTATACTTTGAATCAAAGTTTTTTCTGGGTCGTTGTCATTTTATTAACTGAGTAACAATTAGGAAATCATTCAAACCTATCTATGTCTCAGTTTTCATTACTCTGAAAAGAAAAATAAAAGAATGACATTTGTATTTGAGTATCTTAAGATCAATAGAGGAAACACCTCCGGAAACATATCTCCTGAGTTTGTAGTCCATTCTGATACTTAGCGTCAGTAAATGACTTTAGAAAAGTTATTCCAACCCCATGTTTCATTTTTTTTTCATTTTAAAATGAAAATGATAATATGTTAACATTTAGTGATATTGTAAAGTATAAATTGATGAATTATATAAAATAACTAGAATAAGACTAGGCACAAAACAATAATTAAATGTTCACTAGGTCAATAGTAATTGTCATCAAAGCAAGACTACTTTTTTAAAGTAACCAGAGGATAATAAAGTTTTAACTGGTTTTCTTAATTCTTTGTGGTCACATATTTCTAAGAAATTTACAATAATTTCTCTAATATTTTTGAATATTATTTCTAAGAAAATATTAAATTAAAATGCAATGAGGCTAAAAGAAAAAAATTTGAACTGAGAATCAGATTATGGGGTTCCTTAGAGTTTGTCTATCACCAACTGATTGTAACTCTTAAGTGATTTGGGCTTTCTAAGGCCCTTTGGCTCTAATTTTCTCTCCTATGAGACTATTTGATACCATTGTCCTGAAATATTTCAGATGTCATTTTATAATAATCATTTTCCAACACATATATTTACTTCAGTATGTTAAGCTCTTTTTTCTTTATTTAAACCTTAAGTCTTAAGTTTAAGGTCCACCTAAATTAACACAATCCTATCATTGTTGAACTAGGAATATGACAAAATGCATTTTTTCTGTCATACAGTCCAGTATTGCATAGTATATTCTAAGTGAACATATTTTTAATAAAAATAAACTTGTGATTTATAGCAATTTGGAAAATGAGAACATGAGTTAAAACTTACCTAAAGGAAAGAACTGGGAAGACGAGAAAAAACAAGAATAACTCTTGAAAGAGAATTTTAGTTACACTTTGAACAGTGTAAAACAAAGAGCTGTCTTCACAGGGAGCAAGTCATCCTGAAGGGAAATGCTAGAGTCAGAAAGAAGACAAATGGCACTGAGCCAACCATTTTAAAATTAGTATTATCTCAAGGAAACAGATGAAAGCTTACAGGGAAGGGGGAAAGATGAGTAAGGAAAGGAAAGGGGAAAAGTAACTATAAAACAGAAAGTTGTCCCTAAAATGAAAACGAAAAAAAAAAGAGACTTTCTAGAGAAAGTACAATAACATGCAGGGGTAGAGGATAAGATATGAAAGAAGGATGCACACACAGTAAAGATGTCAAAAGAATTGAAGGGCTGTGGGTGCAGCTCAGTGGCAAAGTGCTTGCCTAGCATGTGCAGAGCCAAGGGTTTAGTCCCCAGCACCACAAAACTAAACAAAACAACAAAAAATAAGTATATTGATATGACATCAAAAAATGTCTTTCATATTCAAAAAAATAGAGTAGGAAAGGAAATCCCTGAATCTTTTAAAAATGGCATAAAGACAAAAAGTTCAATAAACTATTCTGAATTAAAAGAGACTAAAGAAAACAAATAATTCTTCTTTTGGTACCAGGGATTAAACCCAGGGGCACTAAGCCACTGAGCCCCATCCCCAGCCCTTTTTTTATATTTTATATAGAGACAAGGTCTCACTAAGTTGCTTAGGGCTTCGCTAAATTGCTGAGGCTGGCTTTGAACTCTGAATCCTCCTGCCACAGCATCCCATGTTCTGGGTAAACAGGAGTACACCACCAATATATAATTCTTGTTGGAATTCTGGGTTTTAGCCAGCCACAGTGACACATACCTGTAATCCCAGCAACCTGGAGGCTGATGCAGGAGTATCCCAAGTTCCAGGCCAGCCTCAGCAATTTAGGAAACCCTGTCTCAAAATAAAAAATTAAAGCCAGCATGGTGGCACACGACTATAATCACAGTGGCTTGGGAGGCTGAGGCGGGAGGATCAAGAGTTCAAAGCCAGCTTCAGCAAAAGCGAAGTACAAAGCAACTCAGTGAGACCCTGTCTTTAAATAAAATTCAAAATAGGGCTGGGGATGTGGCTCAGTGGTTGAGTGCCCTTGGGTTCCATCCCCACCACTCCTCCACTCCGCAAAAAAAAATTTGCTAATGTTGGAAGAACCCTAGATTCAGTTCCCAGTATGGGAAAGGGGTGCGGGGGGAGGGAAAGAAAGAAAAGAATTCTGGATTGTTCAAAAAAAAAAAAAGTTTGGGTATGGATCATACATTAAACAATAGTATTATGCCAATGATACATTTCCTGAGAATAATAATGTTGGTGTTGTGGTAATGTGTATATTGTGTGTGTGTGTGTGTGTGTGTATGTGTGTGTGTATTATTATTAGAAGACACATGCTGCCATATTTAGGGGTAATTAATGTGCTGAGATTCCTGCAACTTACTCTCTACCAGCTCAGAGGAAAAGATATAAAGAAAAAAAAGCAAAGAAAATGTGGCAAATTGTTGACAATTCTACAATATATATTATATATTCATTGAATATATGAATTATATGTTCATTGAATATATAATTCAAATATTCAATGAATTAGTTTTGTAATTTGTCTATAGGTTTGAAATTTTCAAAAGTAAAATGTTTTTCAAAATAAAATCACACATAACTTGCCAATAACCGGTTGAAAAACCAAAAATGTGTAATGTACTGAGTTTTCAGCCATGCGCAAGCCTTGCCGTCCTCCTCTCCCTCTAGAATCCCAACAAAAGGAGAATGTATGAAACTTAATCGGGACTAATTATTAATCAGTTCTGCAAATAAGATTCCTGGTTCTTTGGAGGTTAGTGCTTTTCTTGTAATCAGAACCACAAGAGTTCTGTACTGCCAGTTTGGACAGAAGCAGTTACATTGTGGTATCTATTGGGTAACACTGAGAGAAAAAAAAAATGGGAACCTCTAAATGCAAATTAAGCTTGTTGTGAAAAATAAATAGAATATAAAAAACTATAGACATTAGCTCACCCAGGGGAATTTCTTTTCCTCAACTGAGGTGGGAACATAATGTCTTAAGTGGACAAGCAAGGAGAGGATAAATTGATAGATACAGTGATTTGCCTCCTACATCTCAGGCAGATATGGTAGAGAATAGACTGACTTGGGTTGTCTGCCTCCAAAAAGAGAATTACTGGTCATTGTGCATGCTTTATCAAAATATTATCTTCTCCAACAATCTGAATATGAAAAACTTAAAAGGAACCTTTTCCAAAAGGAGAGAATTTTTTGTTAATGAGGAAGCATTCTACCATTACATTAAGTTTAAAATTATAATCAATGGTTCTGGCAAGTGTGAAAAGAAATGGTACATCCCTACATTGCTGATGTCAGGGTACAATGTTACACCATTTTTGGTAAACCATTTGGCAAGAAGTTTCAAGAGTTACAAAAATGTTCTTATCCTTTGGCTATTTCTCAGAATATATTTTGAGGAACAAAGGAGAAAGCAATACGGGTACCCCCTTATATCTTATATCTTATATCAAGGAAGAAGAATACAAGCTATATATAGCACAATGATCATTGCAGAATACATATGGTAACAAACAAAGGGAGCAAGAGAAAGAAAATACTCAACCATGAGGAAATGTTAAGTACATGTAATATTTTCAAATTTTAGGATTGTGCAGGAAGAAGGAAAAGTGCTCACACAATGCTCTGTGAAGTGCAGAATATTAAATATGACATGTACATTATGATTCAACTCTGTAAAAGGTAAGTACAAGAACTTTGAACAGGAAGGTTTGTCTTTTGAGTGAGGTTTGTCCTATTTTAAGCCTCCCTTGCTGTTGTTACAATTGTAGATATTTTAATTACTTGCTCTGTAAATAGGATAGTCTGGAATGCAACAAAATCTACTAAGCAGAATACGTCTTTTGGAGAGTCGATAAATACGAATTCTGTCTTCACCTCTGCTTCAGACTATCCATATCAAATTATGTAAATTTGCATTACTCTTCAGTCTTTTCTGCTATATGACCATTCTTGTTATATATAGCTTGTTCTCTTGCTCACATTTTCTCCCTTCTAAAAAATTCTTTTCTGGACACACACAAAAAAAATGATATCTACAAGATTAGAAAAAAGTTATGCCAATTGGATAAAGGCAGTTATTGTAGATTGCACCTTTACAGTGCTGTTGTGGAACTGGAGACACTTCTATTTGTGGTTTTGAGGAAGATCAGTTCAGAAGGGCCACACAGAGTGCCAGGAGTCAGAACAGGGGTTCTATGGTGAAGTAAATTGGGGTTTGAATCTCCTCTGTGCTTTCTAGTTGAATGTCCTTGGACAAATATCTTTAGATTTCTCTGTAGCTCCATTTCCCCCATCTGTAAAGTGGGTTCAAAAATCATCTACTTTTTAGGGGTATCATCATCCCTATTTTGTAGAGATATCTAGTTTCATTTAGTCTACCACTTTTATGCAAGCAGTTGGATCTGGGAGTGGTCAAATTAAGGTACATCTTTTAATATTATAGGACTTGTTTCTCTATATAGACTTATTTCCATAATGGCCCAAATATTCAATGGGTAATATTCCTTGAAGATACCTTTAGTAGGCCTGGGGTTGTAACTCAGGGGGTAGAGCAGTTGGCTAGCATGTGTAAGACCCTGGGTTTAATAACCAGTACCCACACACCTCCTGCCCCCCCAAAAAAAACCACCTTCAGGGTCCTACTTCTGTTGCCATATAAGATATTATAAAATAATGTAATAGTAGAGTATAGGAGATTTTTTAGGAGTACCATGAAAATTTACATCCCGATATGTTACTTTGTGCGCCTCATAGAATAAGAATATATAGGGTTGAACTGGGCACCATGGTGCATGCCTATAATCCCAACAACTTGGGAGGCTGAGATAGGCGTATCGCAATTTTGAAGTCAGCCTCAGCAATTTAGCAAGAGCCTGTCTTAAACCAAAAATATAAAAAGTGCTGGGGATGTATTGCAGTGGGAAAGCACCCCAGGATTCAATCCCCAGTATTGGAAGAAAGAGAAGGAAGAGGAGGAAGAAGAGGAGGAGGAGGAGTCAGAATAGGGCTAAAGGGAGGCTGAAGATTTAATTTTGGTCCTTCACAAACCTCTTGCATATTACCAATATAGAGTGTGACTACCCCCAGAAGATTTGCAATCTACACTTCCCTGTTTCTAAAGAGAAGTCAATTGTGGAGTCATAGCAATTTGATCAAAACGTCTTAGAGGAATTGATCTAATAATATTCTAATCCATCCATAATTGGGAAAGTAAGAATGGGCCAAGTAAAACTCTTTGGAATAAACAGAAAGAATCTGGTGCAAGGAAAGATTAGTAGAGAGCTCATGTTCTGGTTTTACTCTCACCAAGCAATCTGACCAATTGTCATGAACAAGGCTGTAGTCAGGCCAGTGTGGAAGCCGTTGGCACCATCTTGCTCTCAAGTATCTTAAAGTTCACATGATAAAAAAAGAGATGTGCAAGTAAGTAAATAAGAGTGACCTGGTAAATGCATACAAAATAGGGTCTTACTGATGCACGATGGTGAATAGCTTTAAATCTTAAAAGCTTTATTCCAGCAAGCTGTATGCTTTGAGTTCTCATTAGTTCTACCAATAACATGGGTCTTGAACTTTCAACACTTCATTAACTGAAAGAAGAGACTGCAGCAATCACTGTTGCAATCGCATGACTGCTATTTTTCCACTCTCGTAGCCACCTACTGATCGCCACAAAGCTGCATTTCCTAGAGATGTGTTGAGAGAAGTTCAAGGCACCACAGAACTCCCCCTGTGGCTGTCAGGAGTGCAATTAGACATTTGATGTAGCTCCCAGGTTAATTATAAAGTAAGCATCTCCTTAGATTAATAAATGCTGGGGTTATTGCCCTTGCAAAGAAGGATGGCAGTACAGAATCATTCAGCCCACTCTTTCTGGTTGGCACTCAGCAATGCTAGTTAATCTGGCAGATCAGCCTGACATGGGTTATGTTATGAAAGGCCACATGGAGCAGCTGTGGAAGCAGATGAGTAGTAACACAGCA